GGGATCTCCTGGTGGTGCATCAGGTTAAAGAACCACATTATGAAGCTCTCGAAGCACTGCAGCACGAGTTCGATACCCGGCCAGGAGCCGACCCACATGGTGTGGCAGACCAATCCTGACCTGTCCGCTGCTCCCCTCAGCAGTTTACTTTGCCAGTCTGCCTGCTCTGCTCCCCACTCTGTCTCTGGTGAATCCTCTCACCCACCACACCTCTGGCCTGTACCCCAATTCTGTAAGCATAAATAAATAAATCTTAAAAAAAACACCAAAAAATTATTGAAGAACACTGGCTTATAATACTTTACAGGTTTCGTGTGCATGATTATAAGTCAGCATCTCTATACTACATTGCTTACCACTGAAAGTCTGATCCACCTTTCACCATACAATTGACCCCGTTTATTTAATTTATCTACCCACTTTCCTCTTTCCCTCCGGTAGCCATTAATTTGGTCCAATAATCTTTAAGTTTATTTTTGTTTTATTTAATTTATTCATTTGTTTTCATTCTCTGTCTACCATATATGAGTACAGTCATACAGTGGTCATTTTTCCTCTGTATAATTCATTTTCTAATTGTTAACACCCTCTAAGTCCATCTATGTTGGTAAAAATGGAAGTTTTTTTTTCTTTTTTAAAAAAAGGCTCTTTGTTTATTGTATCTTCTTTTCTTAAGACATTAAGATTCTAATGTTTTATCTTGTTTTTTGGTTCTCTATTATTTGACATGCATGGGGAAGTTTATGTTATTTGACTCTTTTACTTATTGTGAGTCATTTGCTTGAATATTTTGTTTTATAGTGTTTGAGCCCATTGACAGATAAGCATTAGTGATGAAATTCTAAGTGTTTTTTTTGTAGAAGGTATTTGAGAGGAATCTGCATTTGCATCTCTTATGTACTCCAGGTGTATCCTTGGTGCTAATACCTAGACTAAGCTATTCTTGGATCAACTATCTATCAGTTGAAACCCATATTCAGCACAGGGCCATGTTAGGAATTTTCAGGTCCATTTAGACCCCAAGCCATGGCAGACAAGATTCTTAATCACATCTCTGCTTTTTCCTTAAAGATGTACACCTTTGCATGTCCTAGAATTAGGTGGGGATCTCAGTTCTGATTCTCTTCTCATTTCCCATGGAGTGAGTCAAAGTCTTTGGTCCTGGTTTCCCCAGCTTAGATTTTCTAGACTTATTCCACCACGCAACCACTTTTCCATCCATGACAGCTGTAGCCACCAGTTTATATACTCTCCAGGCTAGTGTTCAACTCTCCTTTTGTTTTGCAAGCCTGGGGTTTTTCTTATTTTCTGTGGCCCTCAAGTATGCTTTCAAAATTCATTTTAAAGAAAAAATTGCACTACCACTGTGTGTGTAGCTAGAGAGTTTTCACAATATTGTGAGAACATAAAATTCTTAGTTTGGTTGCTTTCCAAGCCACAATGACACAAATCATAGTGACACTAATTTAATTGGGAACTAAAATCATAACAAGGTAGAAAGGATCTCAAATGACATATGAAAATGTCCCACCAATGTGTCATAGTGAAAAATCAACAATATTGGCTTCTTTATTATTTAGATACAACATAAAGACAGGGATTATAACTGAGGGGAGAAATCAAATACTGTCAAAATTAGCAATGATGCAGAATTTAAATAAACAAATTTAAAAAAAAAAAAGACTTAGAAGTGACAAAGCTTCTAATGAAAGCTTTGTACATTTTTTTCTTTGCCTGAATCATTCTGAGTGCTTTCAGGTTTAGTACCATTCTCTTTTCAATACCGCAGCAGTAAAAATCTGCTGATAGACTGAAGTAATATTCCAGATCCATGACCTAATGCTGAACTATCAACTATCATCTTTAATTAAATGATTAGCACTAGTTTTGTGCTGTGGATAGAGGATTGATTCATAAAAATAATTGATTCAGACTGTCAGGGTGACCAATTTGTTTTTCATACAAGGTTATTCAGAGAGTGATCAGTAAAAAGCACCCCTGAACTAAAAGTATTGTTACTTTGAGGTTAAAAATACAGTTGACAGCACTGTTTGAATACTACAGATAGTTTCGATGATTTAGAAAATTTATCTTAGTATGTACATTAACACCACTTTATATATTATCCTCTCTATTGAGATTGTTAAAGAAAGTAATGGATAATCATATCTTAGTGTTAATGTCTCAAATAAAACATTTTACTGATTAGACTGTGTTAACCAATAATTAGATTCTCCATTATATTTTTATTAGGAGTGCTCATTAGAAGCCAAATAATGTGTCATATTCATAATTGAGTCTGGTAGTTTTTAAAAAAGGATACTGTGAGTTTTATAGATGCATTCTGTCTTTTAAAAAATGTTCTACTAGCAAAAAAAAAAATCAAAATATTCCACTAGTATTGTCTTAATAAACTAAAATCAAAGTTCATTTAACCTAAGTATCCGCTCTTTCTCTTCTCTAACTTTACAGTCATCTTGCATCCCTGTTTAATTTGACAACCTAAGAGTATATACTGATGCTTTGGAATACAGCAGTCCCTTCTAATTCATGAGGGGTGTTCCATATTTCCCAGGGGATGCCTAAAACATCAGCTAGCACCAACCCTATACCTATGTTTTTTTCCTATTAATACACATCTATGACAAGGTTTATTTTATAAATTAGGTGAGTAAAAGATGAATAATAATAGCTAATAATAAAATACAGCAATTATAGTCACACACTTCAGGAAAAATGATGTGTATGTGGTCTTTCTCTCTTTTTTAATCTCTCAAAATATCTAATTATATGAAATATTTTCAGACTCTGATTAACCGTAAACCTTTTTGAGCAGAACCAGAGGGAAGAGACTATTTTGTTATTCTGAATGCATACAGTAACCCAACTTTGGATCACTGCTTGTTTAATGCCCTTGACTGTTCAGAAGCTTCAACTCTATTTTCAGAAATGTGGAACACATGGCTATGCAAGCCCCTATTACATTCAGTTTCATCCAGACAGATATATTCAGAAATGCAGAGAGAGAAGGAAGGCTCATTGTTTGTTTTGTATAACATGCCTCTCTCCATTGCTTAATTTAAACCATTCACTCTGAGTCTAGCTTATTTATAAAACTTCCATGAAAGTGTCTTCTTAGCAATTGCAAAACTTAAGTAAAATTATCTTGATAATGCTAGTTGATGTATTGGACGCTTACTATTTAAGTCTCCCTGACTTAATCTTTACACTAATACTTATGGAACTAGATACTGTTGTCATCACCATTCTGATGATTGGTGCTGAACTTGAGAAAGTTTAACTTACTTGTTTAAGCTTATACTGCTGATAGGTAACAGAGCTGGCACTTGAACCTGTCCACTGACACCAAAGTCTGCTTTTAATTGTGTCATGCAAGAATGTAAACCCCTCAGATAAGGAACAGATCTGTCTGCTGTTCTTAGAACCTAGCCCAATACCTTTTACCTAGTAGGCATTTGATAAATATTTGTTGAATGAATGAAGAAAAATCTGAATGAACTCTAGAAAGATTTTCTTTTATTTAATATAAACTATGTTGTTTTCACTTGTTATATCACTGGGGAAGAATAATTTACCAATTTTTAAAGTTGAAGTATGTGACAGTGACTAGGCATTTGCCCAATTAGTTTACAATCTAGTTTTCATACTTTTTTCTTCCTAGCTAATTACTCTAAATTATAGTAAGCTGTCATGGATAGCAGTAATTTATTTTAAGCTCTTGGATTGCTAAAATCTAGGTTTTCCAAAAGCATAGTAATTTAAGTTGAATTAAATGTTAAAAAAATTAAGTCTTTATTAAATTGGTTATGATTAGACTAACGAAAACTCTTACAGTACACAATATTAGGACAAGGTGAATAAAACGAACATGGACTATAACTACTGTTCTTTCATAAAGGATCCATAGTTATAATTAGTCACTGATTAGCATTATGCTGTTTCCTAGTTCTGCTTGTGCATACACTAACTCTCAAATTACCCTGGGCTATTGAATATCAAGTGCTAAGATCATCCAGAGTTTGTTATATGCTGGGAATTCTACTTCTGGCAATTCGGTAGATCTTAATAGGCTTATTTCCTTGGAAAGCCAGGCCTAATTGTCTTTTGGAGTCCATTAGAGGTAAAGAACCAGTTTGTGTTTCTAAGATTCTTGTTGTTAATATGTTAATTCTTCTTACACTTTTTTTTTTTTTTGTCTTCTTTTGCCAAGCAGAAAAAGGGAAAATTTGTACTTTAAAATTCTGGGCTAAAATATCTATTTTCTCTTATTTTTTCAATGAGTATGTTGCTTGCCAGTCCACTTCAAAGCCTAAAATTGTGTTGCTGTTCTCTCCTTATGAGAGAAGGTCTCATTTTCCCAAGTGCCTTTCTGAGCAACTGTCACATGGACTTTTTAAATTTAATCACAGAAAATCATGTTTCTCCTTAATGACTCTATCAAGATTCCTATTTGTTCATAAAGCACCAGTGGATTCAACCAGTTTCTGAAAGATTTCAAGTTTGAATCCAAGGTTATTAGGCTAGAAATTAAAACAGAATTCAATACCTTAAAGCAGCTTGCCATGATCTCTTCACAGAACTCTTGGATACTTAAGTTATTAAATCACTACAGTCTTCTCAAAGTCACACAATCCTACATTTCCAAACTTTCCTCAGAGGACTTATTTCCTGATCTTTAAAAGCATCACCTCATTTTCATTTTCCTCTTATTTGAGGACACTAGAAATAGAACATCTTAGTCAGTCACAGAGCATGAGTAATTAATATTTTTGGAATATTATTCTTCACAACCCTACACTTCTATTGATTAGTATAGAGCTTACTAGAAAGGAGTCTCACAACTAACTGAAATAGGACTGTGCCATTGCCAAACACATGTGAACTATAATAATAACCATGTCCTTTTTTCCCTCTTCTCCCTGTGTCATGCCTTCTTTCACTCCCTCTTTTTTGTTCCTGATTCCTTTTATCCTAACCAGGGTCCTCGTGGTCCTGAGGGAGCACCAGGAGAGAGGGGCATGCCTGGAGAAGGATTTCCAGGGCCAAAGGTAACAATACCTTCTTTACTTAAAAAAAAGTGTTTTGTCTGAAAGGTCACCAGTAACAGATTTAAAAAATTTGTCCTAGACAATTATCAGCAGTTGCTGTTTTCCTAACCACCCCCACCCTATTCAGTAAGAGAATAAGCCCACTTCCCCTTAGCATGAAGTCATAGTAAAATTTGTAAATATAAATCAGAAATCAAAAGACTTTTGGGCCTCCCTGGTGGCCTAGGGTTAAGCCTCAGCACGATCCTCTCTACTGCTGAGTTCCTGAATTCCATCCCTTACCAGAGAGGTGACCCACATGGTGCAGCAGACTTCTGTCTGACCTGCTGCTGCTCCCCTCAGCAGCATATTTCAGTGGATCTGCCTGTACTGCTCCCCACTCTGTCTCTGGTGAATCCTCTCACCACCCCCACTCCTCAGGCCTGTATCCCTATGCTAATAAACATATATGTATGTATGTGAAGACTTCTACTTCATACAATTACCACATACAAAATTAGAAAAATCAGTAGTTTGGAGTCATTAAAGTCACAGTGAAAAATAGCAGCTTTATGCCCAGAAGTTGTTATTGAATACAGCTATAACAAAGCTTCAGTAGAGTTTTGTTTTCTGAAACATATATTAGAAACAGTCCAATAAGTCCAATATGTAATGGAATTGTTATCAGTTTAATAAGAAAGGAAATATAGGCGAAGAAAGAATCTGGAATTACTTTATTAGCATAAGGAGCAATATGTTATGAAAAGAATTAACTTTTATCTGGCAATTGAAAACTTAAACTTTCCTCCTGCTTGCCATGCATAATTTTTGGAGCTCAAGTTCCTTTAGACCAGGGTTTGGAAAACTTTTTCTGTAGAGTATCAGAAAGTAAATATTTTAGGCTTTGTGAGCTGTAAGTATCTGTTGCCATTGCTTAACTGCTGCCATTGTATCAAGGACTCTTTTTGCTGTCCACATCATCAAGGATTTTTACCCACAACTGATGGCACATTTTGACAAAAGTCCTATAGGAAATGATTTTCCGAGATACTTTGAGCAAGGTCAGCAACATTTCAGAGTAGGTAAGGACACACATTGGAGCCCTCCCTTTTTTTCTCAATTGTCTCCCCCAAATACACATGTGCATGCACATACACTACCCAGAGAACTTCCTGCTACTTCTAGGTGTCTATGACCTGTCAATTTAGTCATCAGTCAGGTCATATGACCTTCTCATCATGGCTTCATGCTATCAAGTGTATTTCACCTCAACCTCTTCTACCATGATTAATATCCAACTACCTATGAGAAACCTGAGCCTCAGCTGGAGAGAAATCAATTAGCTAAAACAAATAATCTATATGAGTGATGAGAGATTCCTGGGTTGAATTTTAAAGAGATCCTTGTTAACAAGCTTTAATTTTTCATAAGACATTGAGATAATATATTAAATTGAGGAATATTATGAATGTCCTTGATTAATCAAAGTATCACTCAGCAGACAAAGGCTAGCACTTTGACAATACATTTTAGAGACTTTATAATATATAGTTTCTTGAAATTTTTTGGCATATAGTAAACTACCATTTACATAGAACAACCAAAATCTAGAAAATTCAAGTGTCCAGAATAACTTATCTTTATAATCTTTTTAAGATTAAAAAAATAAATAAATGATTAATGAGTCAATAAAGAAACATATTGCAGAGTATTTCTTAGTGATAGTTTCAACAGGCTTACAGAAAGTGTGATATAACTGCATTATCATAATAGTTTATAACTTTGCATTGCCTTTATGTCATCAAAGAAAGATCATGCTATATTTGGTGTTAAACTTGTTGTTTTAAGGACAAGTGAATCTGTGGAAATGATTAGAAGAACCCATTAGGTAGAATCATTCCTTCCCTAAACTTTAGGACCAATGGGAGTTTTCTATATGTGCTACATGAGGTTTCTTTATAATGATGTAGGGAATAAGTGAATTAATTATAGATCTAGAGACATGAAGCTCTATTAACTTATTTTCTTGGTTTCCTACAGACTTTGATTTTCCTCTTGATTCAAGTAAATTCATGAAATGAATGCTATTTTTTATTTATTATCTGTACTCTTTTTTCATGTCTTCACTGATATTTTACAACTAGTTTCTGTGACTACTGAAGCATTACCAAGGTTTTCTATGGATTTTTCTAACCAAAATTTGCAGTTATAAGTTCTAGCTAAAACATTTAATAAATAGTCCAATTCTAGCAAGTATTCACATTCTAATACGAAAGGCAGTGTTTCACGTGTAATGGAACCAGTTGCTGCAATGTTGAGGAAATGGAAGATGATTATGTAAGTTGTACTATGTGATTGAATAGGTCTTCTATTTCCAAATTTTTTTTTTATTGTATTGGAAGGGTACTCTTTTCCAAATTTAGTGGCACTTCATGTTTGTCTTACTTGTAACATTAGAGTCAGAATTTCACACTGACAGTGAGCAGTGAATTTGAATGATTGTATGCTTTCATTATTTTAAAACCCAGTCTTTTATTAGTGAACTGATAGCTTTTCTACTTACTTCCAGGGTGAAAAAGGTTCTGAAGGACCAATTGGCCCACAAGGATTACAAGGCCTGTCAATTAAAGGGGAAAAGGTATCACTTACAGAGTATATGATAGAAAAATGAGTATATGATAAAAAAAATTATGTATATGATATGTATATGATAAAAAAAATTATGATGGTTTAAGTATGTACATTTTATGAACTGCATATGACTGCATACCACAAAACCTCAGTTACCCAGTTAATTATAAATCAAGTATACGAAAGGTAAATTATTAAGTAGGATGAATTATGATCTAGAAAATCCTATTATACATATTTAAAGTAATATCTCACTTAGATTTCAACTCCAAGAAACCCTATCATTAGCCAAGTGCCTTAAAATCAAACAGCAAAAGAGATCTCTTTTTAATAGAGAAGACAGTTGTTAAAACATTTTGACCCTATTACAAAAGAGCACGTATCAAATATACTACCCTAAAACATGGTTCATATAAGTAAAATAGTATTGCTGCCTTCCAGGAAACACCCGCAGAAGTTCACGTAAAGTTAAACAAAGTCAGGTTTATCACTCACTGCTGACGTAGACCACAGGGCATGAAAAAGGGATCTCAGCTCAGTAAGGAGAAAGTTTTTTGTTTTGTTTTTTTGTTGTTGTTCTTTTTAGATGTAGGATTGGGGCTTGTATTAGTTGACTCCAGCAAATGTTTATGAAAGTAGACATTGGTTCTTGATTGAATGCAAACCTAAAGTGAGGATAATTTTTAAGATCGGACATTTAAATGAATCTTACCCAGGATATGGAGAAATGGAGCTGGACTTAACTGTAATTAGTAAAGAAATAGCAGTCACACAGTTTAGCCACCAAATTAATACTATTTTTACTTTTCTTATTATTTTATATGTATCTTCACTTTCGATTGCCTGTTTTGAGTGATAATATAAACACCCACATGACAAGGGCTCTCAAGTACATATAATAGGTACAAAACAAGGAGATAGTTTTGATGCATATATTTAAGTGTAAACTGTATTGCACAAATGTGGATCTCTTTCAAATGTTTACTATGTATTGACAAGAGTAGTGATTTTGAGTTATATTTTGGTGTCAGGGACAGGACTTGAATCTTGCTTCTGTCATCCAACAATTGTGTGACATGGGGCAAGTTATTTAAACTCACTTGGAAAATGGGGATACCTATAAAGGGTTTTTGTGAGAGTTAAATGACATGAAGCATGAAATGCATTCAGCTCAGTGTCAGGTACATGATAAGCAATCACATTCTGACTCAGAATAATTCAGTTCTGAATTAGAACTAGAGTCCATTACATTTTCCTTCCATGGTATTAGTTAGCCTGGGAGTTGATACAAAATGAAACACTAAGAAGTACATTCCAGTGTAGGTCTTAGTGACAGTTAACTACACATTTTAATCCATGAAGTATGATCTAATCCTGTATTACTGTTCATAAAAATATATTTATTTAGCCCAGGCACTATAGGTTTGGCTGCCTATATTTGAAAATAAATATTGCTAGAACACAGGCATACCTGTTCGTTATGTTCATCTATGGCTGCTTTTTCATGAGCAAAGCAGCATGTGTTAGGTATGAATGACTCTCAAGCAAATTCAGCTGATTAAGAAAAAGTTTGCTGACCCCAGTGTAGTCCAAATACAAATGACATTAAAATAAAAGACAAACTCGTGTCATTTGCAGCAACATGGATGGAACTGAAAGGGGTTATACTAGCTGAACTAATTCAGAAGGAAAAGGATAAATATCGGATGGTTTCACTTATATGTAGTATATACAGAAGTTGAACAAAAGGTCAAGAGAAAGACAGAACTAGCAAGTTGACCATAGATCTGAGGCATATAGCTAGGAGAGAGAGGGAGAGGGTCCAAATAGGAGAGAGAACACAAGAGTCTTGTGTAATGGGTCACAGTTGATTTGTGACAGGAGAACTACGGGATCTACACCTGAGGGGAGAAATCAATTACTGTACAAAAATAAACCGTAAAAATTTAAACAAATAAATAAAATAAATGTGTTGTGGTACTCAATCCAGTTGGCGATTCGCAATGGTTAAGTAATTGACTTATCTATAGCCTCTGACTGGTATTCACCTTTTTGAAACAAGCTCTTCACTTGTTTTCTCTGACTGCGCCTTCAAAGTCTCTACTGCTGGTTCTCCATCTCTCACATCTCTCATACCTACAGTGCCCAAAGTGCTCAGTCCTTGACCCTTCTCTCATTCTAGTTGGTAAACCTCCTCCCACCCCCATCATGGCTCTCAATACCATCTATATGCTGTTTCCAGTCAAGATGTCTCCTGTTTTCTCCATCTGGATGTCTATTTGGGGCATCTTAGACTTAACATGTCCAAAATGGAGCTCCTGATTTCAGGACACCATCCCTTCTCCCCCTCACTTTTCTCTTCAGATTTCTCCTTAGTAAATGACAAGTCTATTCTAAAAGTCTTCAAGATATCTTAGGGTCCTTTCAAAAGCTAGAAAATCCTGTTGATTTTACTTTCAGAATATATCTAGAATTTGATTGCTCCCCACCACCTTCACACCAATATATTTATCCATATCTTCATCACCTCCCATGTGGCCCCTGCTTCAGTATGTGCTCAATACACCATTCAGATCAAGCTTTTCAAGACTGTCAGCTCTTTCATTCCTTGCTCAAAACTTTCTAACAGCTTCTTATCTCATGAAAAGAAAAATCAAAATTCTTATTATAGTCTATCTGACCCCACTGCCATACCTCTCTGACTATATCCTCTACCACTCTCTTTCCTGCTCATGAACTCTAGACACACTGTGTCCTTGCTATTTCTGGAACATGCAGGCCACTGTACTTGCACTATTTGCTCTGTCTGGAATGCCTTCTCTCCAGGCTTTACCTGGGTTATTCTCTCTTATTGAGAGAATAACTTTATGCAAAATTACAACTGTTCACTTTATGCAAAATTACAACTCTCTCCCATTTCTTTAATTTTCTTTCTACTTAGCACTAATCACTATTCAATATACTATTTGCTTTACCTATTCATCTTGTTCATTATCTTCTGTTTTCGTTACTAAGATGTTAGCTCTATAAGGTCATTCATTTTACTGCATGTACCTTAGATAATTTCTTAATTTTAAAAATGTTTTGAAAGAGAGTTGAAAGAGGCAGCTAGAAAATTTTAAAACATTTTAATTCAGTTCTCTAATTGTTTTTTTTCATACCCTATGAATTTTATACTTTTTAATATTGAATTTTATACTTTTTAATATTTATATTGTCATCCTAAGAGGAAGTTATTTTTTGTCATTGTAATAACCATTAAGGATTATTTTTGCCCTTCTGAAAAAAATTACTAATATAAGTAAAAATACATTCTTATGAATTTAGACTAAGTAGCACTAACATCATTCACTATTTCAGCAAGTATGAACTATATTCGAAAAAGAACGTGACTTTCTAATTTTGGGGGCTTATTTTCCACACAGGGGGATTTGGGACCTGTGGGGCCTCAAGGACCAATGGGAACTCCTGGAATTGGGAGTCAAGGGGAACAGGTAATCAGTGCTTCTCCTTTAGTACAGAACATTCTGGCCCAATCCTGGTGCTCACTGCAGGCCAAGCCTGCACACGCCTAGGAATATATTCGACAGTCAAATTATAATAGAAATGACATCCTATAGTGGAGGAATTAGGTGGTTTTATTAAAATTTGTGTTTTAGAACTTTCAAAGTTTCAAAAATAAACTCCATGTTTGTTGATGCTATAATCTCTAACAGTAAAGCTTAAGTGATAGAGTAAGAGTTTGGGGGTTATAGTTCCAGTTTCTCTTGGGAATAGTATATTGACCTGTTGGTTTGTATGCTTTGTTTTTCCTTTGAAGCATTGTGAATGATTAAATCCCACTGCCTCACAACATCAGTTGAGTGGTATTTTCCATCTGCTGTATGCTAGCCATACAACAATCTAAAATGTATTATGCTTAAAACAGAGGTAACCTTTTAATTTAGGGGTACCATTACCATTCCTGAGTAGAGACAAATACTGATGGGGTTTATAAATGACACTTGGCTCCTTTTGGTCAGAAGACAGGAGAACTCTCTGAGGAGGTCTCTAATTCATAACAAGATCTTCTCATTGTAACTTTTGAAAATTTGGGTAATTTTGTTAGATCTAAATAATGTGAAAAAATAAAGGTGCTATTTACCTTTGTTGTCACAGGCTTTTAGCTACACAACCCCACTTAATCAAGTGACTGATATATCCAAACATATGCTGAAAAGCCTCTTCATAAAACTGGCAAACCAGTTTTATTGAAATTTTAAAATTAAAATAATACATAGAAAAATGTATTATTCTGTTGCCTAGAGAATGAACACTATTTCCTTCATCTGGGATAGTGGGAGAAGAGAAGGATAAAAATTAAGATAACTCCAAATCCCACAGTTGACATTAACTGAGTTGTTTCTGTCTAATTAATTAGTATTTTTGTTTTTCTTAATCCAAGCAACAGCAAAGATGAATATTTCCCCTTTTCCCATTTTCTTCTTCTTGGCAGAGGTTCTAGTGTAGGAGGATTAAGGTGAAGAAGTCAAGCTAAATCTGTCAATATTAAGTGCTGGATATTTCCATTCTACACACTCATGTTTTATTAGTGCCACGAGGCATTCTCAAGCTTGGTAGTTTATTTGCTGGTGTTAGCATGCTGACAATCTGATCCCGGAAGCCACTAGACAGTGCTGTCACATCCTGGGTCTTGTGGTGGTCCTGGCGCTCAGTCACCACTATAAGGCTCAAAATGAGGTTCAAAGAAAGTCAAGTCTTTCCAGATGGCCTGTGATTCTCAACCTCCCACCGTCAGCTTCCTGTTGTCTTTAATGCGGGTTCTCTATGGAGGTTGTTGTTCTTCAGTTAAAAAAAAAAAAACAAAAAAACTCTGACTCATTTAATTTTCTCACCCCCTTCTCTTCTTTCCAAGAGTATAAAATTTTCAAGGGGGACTTGTCCATATCAATTTCCTGGTGGAAAGGAGAGTGAATGGAATGTAATATTTGTAAGATTTTTTGACCAAAGGAAGAATTTGTTTGCCCTTTTAAGACAAATGATTTAAATTCTACTGAAGTCTAACCTCTGTTTATTCAGTATTCACTTTTCTTTTTATCCTTAAGTTATCATGTTTATCAACTGAATTCCTGCTATTATTAGATCTTCTTATTTCTCTTTTAGAAATCAATTTTCACACTGATTTGTTTGTGAGGGATCTTCTCTATCCAGCAACATGTTTATAGTATCCCTCAAGTGGCCTGAAGATTTCCACTAAATATTTGAAGCTGTGTCCACTTCAAGTTTTTGTGAACCAAAGTGTAATGTATATAACAACACACATATGTGAACAAACACATACAAACACACACACAAAACATATATATTCCTGTAAATTTTGGGGTTCCTGTCCCACTGTATGCAACTTGTGGTTTGGAAGGATTCCTCTTATAACAGTTCAATAATTATATCAAAATTAGCTTCCATAATTGGTTATATTGCTTCACCTTCATCAATTAGAGAAAAGAAATATTTGTAATTGAAAAATGAACAACAGCTGTCCTGCCTATCTAGGTCATGGCATTTATTGTAAAATAATCATGTATCTGTAGCCAGCATTTGTAAAGTCATGACTTGGGTATAAACAAAGGAAAATCTAAATTATTTTCTCTAATTCCTTAAAAATTTCTTTTCAGTGGGGGAAAGTTTTTCTTTTTCCTACAACAGAAAGAAATTATTGACAGGTTATAGAATTTTTTATATTTTTATGGTAATAGAAAGTGACAAGTTCACTCTAAGTTATAAATGATATTATGAATGTGTAATAAAAATGATGTAGTCAATATTTTAATCTTTCTTTTAATCAATACTCATTTGGAGAAAGCCCTGCATGTAGCAGTGTGGTCCTTGTATTTCTCATCTTTCCTGGGATTAATCCAGGATGGGAGGAGAGGAAGGTGAAGGAGATGCTTTCTTGGTTGGCCTACTGTCAAACAGACTGGAATCTCTGGTCTTAGAAACTGTTTGATGCTGACACTTCCTCTCTAGGCTCCAGCCTGGCTCTGGGGCTGCCTGGCCTAGCACATGGATGAAAGCCTCTCCTCTGGTAGTTTTTTCCTACTGTCAGCCTCTGTTTTTCTGGTGATTTACTCTACACTAACTCTCTGCTGGAATTCTATTACTCTTCTGTGTCCTTACTCTTCTAGGTTTAGAGGACTCAAGAACATTTTAGGTCTACTCTACTTCATACTTCAAGTATATCTGGTTCACAGAAAAACACTTTATCTGGTCTGGCTGTAAGGCCAATCTCACCCAGTCCTGTCTCGGTTCCTACAGTCCTTTTTAGTTTTCCATGCATGAGTCAGCCAGTAATCCCTTGTGACTCCAAGGCAAAGACCAAGGTCACCAATGGTCTCGTTCATGTTCCCTTTCTAGAATGGAGTAAAAAGCAACTCAGCCCCCTTCCCTTTTTTTTCCAAAGAAAACTCATTATAGGATTACTTTCTTTAAAGGAGAACTTCTAAAGTCCTGGGTTGTTTCTTTTATCATATCCACAATATGAGTGAGAGTCAGTGTTTTGACCATTTGTCACTTTGGTGACTGCTGGGTATTACTTTTATTAGCACAGATCCAATCTTCATAACATTTGATTTATATTGAATGATACAGTGAAGGCACAGGCTTCAGGTATGGATGAGACTGAGATGTGAAATCAGTTAACAAGATGGAATTTTACTTTTCTTACTGAAACCCCCAAGATGATGTGGAGGCTCTATTCATCAGGGTCTCCAGAGGACTTTTCATTCCTTCTTCATTCCTGTTATTAGCCTGCCAGATGGAGGTGCTCTCCGGCCACATGCTCTACCACAGCCACCATGTCTGCACTTCAGTTACTAAGGAAGAGGCATATGGAAGGAGGAAGAGGACTCCTTACTTTAGCATGAGTCAGAAATTACAAACATCATTTTTATTCATAATCCATTGATCAGAATCCATTCCATCTTGGAATTGTAGCTGCAGTAGGGACTGGGAAACCTGGTCTTTATTCTAGGTAAACGTGGGTCAGATTAAATTTCTTACTATGCACAAAAAGGAGAATACATTTATGACTCAACTAGCAGCTTTAGTCACCCCTATTTCAACAATTATGAGTAATCCATTATAGGGTATGAACTAAACTTTTACACCAGAGGATCTGAAACTATGCTTATCCCTTTTTTTCTTAATTCCATTAATAATACTCAATTTTTTTTATTTTAAAGGGAATTCAAGGACCTGTTGGACCACCCGGTCCTCAAGGACTCCCAGGACAAGGCTTACCGGGTTCCAAGGTAACTTTTTAGGTGACAGAAGAATGTAATATATTACTCTTTAATTGCTCAAAGTTTTTTGGCTGATGGTCAGTGCATTTAGAAGGCTGCAAAGGAAATAAACTTAAAGATCCCACAGCAAATGCAAAACTTGACTTAAAATAGAGGAAAGACTTGGATGTATGACCTGATGCCACAAAATATGAAGAAAACATAGGAAAAGCACTCCATAATATTCGCTTCAGTGATGTCTTTATCACCAACAGGGAGAGCAAAAAAAGCAAATATGAGCAAATTGGACTCCATCAAAATGAAAAGCTTTCACACTGAAAGTGACTATCATTAAAACCAAAATATATGTTATTGCATGGGAGAAAATATTTGCTTATGATACATCTGACAAAGGGCTGATGTCCAGATCTATAAAAGTCTCATACAACTTGACAAAAACAAATAACCCAATCAAAAAAGGGCGCAAGTGGACTCTCCCTGGTGGCGCAGCAGGTTAAAGCACAGCACTAAGAAGCTAAAGCCACTTCAGCATGAGTTCAATCCCCGCCAACCCCAGAGGAGACCCACATGGTGCGGCGGACCTCTCCTGATCCATCTGCTGCTCCCCTCAGCAGTGTACATGGTCTATCTGCCTGTTCTGCTCCCCACTCTGTCTGGCGAATCCTCTCACCACCCCTGCACCTCTGGCCTATACCCCAGTTCTGTATGCACAAATAAATAA